CGTTGTGCACCCGCCTATAGGCGCATATTACTAACACGCTCTTTAAATAACAAAGAAAAAATATTGCGCCAGACGTTAGACCAGGTTTTTGTTGGTCAATGGCGCAGTCTATTTCAGTTGCCTCAAAATAGCAACACGCCAGCAATGCGCCTGAACACACCTCGTTTTCAGACAGCACGCCCATGAGCGCACAAATGGGCGCAAATGCATTTGCTATTTAAACAACGTGGCGCAGGACGTGAAAATGACTGTGTCGGGCTGAAACTAGCAAAAAACACTTGCGTCGCGCCTGGCGCCGCATTGCACCGTGTGTATGATAGGGCCCTTATAGTTAAGATCTGACTCTACCATGATAGTAATGGTTATTAAACAGATAGTAGGATGTTTCTCTAGCTCAGACCCTTTAGTGAAATATTCTCAAAATCTGGAGCCTCTTACCTCTGGGAATTTCTTCTTTTTCAGATATTCTGTCACATCTGGGTAAAAATGTGCTGCGTAGCCTTCATTCAGACTGTAGATCTTTCCCTTCTTCTTAATCTTCACATCCCGGTCTACAAGTATAAACTCACCAATGGCCTAATGATGGAGGAGGAAAGAATGCAGAAAGATGAAGAGGTAATTCAACTATTTACATTTAAATAGGATATGAGGTATGTAACATAATTCTGACTTACAGGATCAAGCATGAAGCAGTTGACACCCTGGCCTGTGGAGAGAACCAGCATGGTAGCACTGCCATAAAGAGCATACCCTGCTGCCACAATGTCTCTGCCACTCCGCAAGGCATCCTTCTCTGAGGGTTCATCATCAGTTTCCTGGAGATCATGTGCACAAACAAACAAACAAAAGCATTTCATTAGTCTTTAGATGACTGTAAAGAGATATGTTTGTACTGCAAATGATATGAAAGCCTGTACTGTACCTTTCTGTAGACTGCAAAAATGGTTCCAATAGAAGCTAAGCAGTCAATGTTTGAAGAGCCATCCAGAGGGTCAAAGCAAACCACGTATTTTCCCTGGGCAAAAAAAGAAAGAAAAAAGTACAGATTCAGGTAGTTTATTGGCCTGTACAGAAATACATCATTACAACATAATTTTACATCATTTACTTTTACTTTAATTAATCAAAGGATTTTTTCAGGTTAAAACAACAACAAAACCAATGATGCACACTTACCCTTTCCTCTGGTTCTATAATGATGGCGTGATCGTTTTCTTCAGACACCAAAACACAGGATGTGAAGGAGGATTTAATCATGTTTATAACAAGATCATTAGACAGGACATCCAACTTTTTCACCTGATCACCTGTAACATTTGTGCTCCCGGCAATTCCATAGCTGAGAAAAAGAAAAAGATAGAATTCGGAACTTATTCATGGCGAATTATGTGGTCTGTATGATTTCTTCACAGTGCTGATAACTTAGGAAAGAGATGACCTTTGCCCCCTATTTCAACAAGAGACAAGGTCTAATCATTGCCTCAGTCTGCAGTGTTTGTTTGCAAAGTAGCTGAAATGAGCAGACGCAACAACACTACATGGCATATAGTAAATATATATGTTCAAATGTGCAAAAACAATGCATCAGAAAAAGCTTTTTGCACAGATGGAAATGAGAGTTTAAATTATTGAAAAGTTTCTAATCAACAGGACACTAAAGCGCATTGTATAGTCTGGGAAGTGATAGTGTGGCTGCACATTCAATACCAATAAATAGAGAAAAGTTTCCTCACTTTTTATACTATAGGAAGCAAAAATGACAGAAACGGTCTGAAAACCACAATATTAAAATGGTGGTAAAGATGCATTAGCAGATACTCACAGATTGGCAATGCCAGCTTTTCTGACTGCAGTGGAAATGGCTTTGATTGCCGTGCACATGGAGTTGAGAAGAGTTGTAAGCTCGCCCGTTCCTTTGGCTTTTCTGCCCTCTTCTAAGACAAACCTGGTGAGGGTCACCACATTAGTATCAAATGCACCTCTGTCTGACATGATGACTGACTGCTAGAGTTCCTGCTGATTCCTGTCGGAAAGGATGTATTAGAATTAAGTGTAGATATATGACTGCGTTTAAAAGGGGAGTGATGGTAGTTTAGCCAATTGCAGATAGAGTTAGAAGGAAGGAGTGGTTTTTTGCACATGTAGTGAATGCAGGTGAGGGCCTGGCTGAAGTCCATAGAGTTTATCACAGATTTCACCCTGAGTGCAGGGGGACAGTCTCTTCAAAACAATGAAGATGATTGTATTAGTTTAGTTTATTTGATCTGTGATTGATTGATTAACATTTTGCAATGTAAATCTACTTTATGCAACAAATTGCATCTAGGTCTCAGTTATAAGATCTGTGCTTACAAAAAAAGTAATACAATTAATGGATGATAAAATCACTGACTATAGTTATTCTATTCTACAGAGAATTTTGCAACATTCATTCATCTGTTTACCTAAAGACCCATATCTGACATAGTTGTAGTGACTAATCATTGATCGGTTGTGCAGAACTGTCAGCAGAAACAGTTTATGTGCACGGGGTGTCCATGATCAATGTGCAGTTCAAAGGTTAGTGTGCTTGATTCTGTTCTGAAGTTTAATTGCACACAAATGAGTGGGGCAGTGAGATTTTATGCAAGATTTTACAAACATGCACTAAATAACTATTCAGAATTCTTAATGGTCCAACTCTGATCTTTGCTGGTTTTCAGGGCTAAAATGATGGTAGCCTACAATATAGTACAATAATAAACTTAATGATGATGATGATGATGATAATTCAAAATGATTAAAATAATATTTTACTATAAACAATCAAAAGCAGGAGAAAGAAGACAAAGATTTATCACAGCTCTTGATTAATACTCCTGGAAGAGATGATATATGTTATGTAATGATTCAACATTTATCAGATAGATCCTTAAAAAATATTTTAAATCTTTTTAACAAGGTATGGAATGCAGGAAATATTCCTTCTTCGTGGAAACATGGAATAATAGTACCAGTAGGCAAACCTGGAAAGGACAAATCCAATCCAATTAGGCCAATCGCATTAACTTCTAATTTATGTAAACTGATGGAAAAAATGATCATACATAGACTAAATGATATATTAGAAATAAAAGGTCTTATATCGCCATATCAGAGTGGATTTAGGGCTGGTATAGTTAGTCGATTTTCAAATACAAATAAAAATTAAGAATGAGAAAGAAACCCCTAAGAACATTATTGCACAGCAGTATTTAGATCAGACTTATCCATCGTGGTTACATATATATACTGATGGTTCTAAAGACCCTCTGGCAGAACAGCTGCTGCAGTATTTATTCCAAAGTTTCATACTAGTATTAAGAAAAGAATAACTGATCATGTATCCGTGTATACAGCAGAATTAATTGCCATGGTGGTAGCACTCCAGTGGGTAGAGGATGTAAAACCAAGGTTAGTAGTAATATGTTCTGACTCTTATGCAGCAATATTGAGCCTTGTTGAAAGAGCATGCAGAACAAGGTAAAATATATGGTGCTATTGTTAAATACATTAAAGAAATAGGATTAATCAGCAGAATTTGGGAATGTGTTTTTATATATATATATATATATACCGGTATATATTTTTTATTCTTCTTTTTTTTTTTTATGTATGTGTATGTGTGTGACGTGTATATATATATATATGGATATGCATATATGAGTTGCTTATTAGTGCTCCACACTCCAGTCCAGTTGGTGGCGGTAATAAAAGGACGGGATTAATAAGTAGAATGTAACTCTCTGTTCCACACTCCGGAGCAGAAGGTGGCGGTAATGCACCTAATTACGCTGGTTGCCAGCCGCCGTTAAAAGCCAAGAAGAAGAAGAAGAAGAAGAAGAAGAAGAGCTGAGTGTGGACAAATCCAAAACATTTGTGAGTAACGCGTCGCATAGGTGAAACCGCAACTTGCCATTGGTGCTGGCGTATTTTGATTTCTATTTATAAATCAGATTTGGCTTTTTCAAACCCATAGTTTTAATTTAGCCTACGTGTTCAGCCGCACGCGCAAACGTAAAGATTCTTTAGAAAATGACAGCACAGAAAGTGCTTTATTGACCGGCGCCTTCAGTTTGTTATTTCACACAATATAAATGTGGCCTGTGCAGTAAATCGCATTGGACTAAAATAGCCATGTGTTACTTAAGAGCTTCACCAGCTTACGCCTGTTATTGACCTCAAGTTGGCTGTTTTACAAGTGTACTTGACCTTCTTGCAGTTACAAGTTCAATATGAGATGACTGAACCTAGAAATTTACAATTGAACTAAGTTAAGCCATTATAAATGCAAAAACAATAATGCATGATGCGTTTGTTTCAGTACAGACAACAACCTTAGTGTGTTAAAAGATTTATTTATTTATTAATATATTATTTAAAAAAAACAAAAACAAACCTCTGTCTATTCCCCATGTTTATCTTCTTTGATTCCAATGGAAAATATAGTGATACAGTGTAGTCTTATGCATTTTATTTAAATCAAAGATTTAATTGTTTTGTCAGTGCTTTTGCATGGAAAAAAACTGTGTAGTATTAAATGAATATAAAACAGTATTTATAATGAGATCATGTAATAGTCTAACAAACAAATAGATCTAAAACTTTTACAGTGCATTGGATACAATACATGCATTGTAGAAAATACCAATACCTTCAAAGTTTGTCCTCAGAATAGTTTTCCAATGTCCTTCTCATGACTTTGACTGAAAATGTACGGTTAAAGGATACACACAGACAATGTCTTTACATTTTATGTAAATATTGTGAACTTGTTAATGAATTACATGTAGTAATTTTCAAAGAATAAGGAAAAATAACAGATCTACCTTCTGAATCACTATCAGAAGTGCTTATTTGTATTGTAAATTTTTTTTTGAAAATGCTTGGCTGTCCTGTTAATTGTTACATTGTAGTATTCACTATTGCTAGTTATACAGTAGCTGTTCCCTCTTTTGAATGGAAAGAAATACATTATATATTTTTTTTTTCAGAATGGCCTCCTTTGGCTGGAAACGTAAGGTGGGGGAAAAAGTTTCCAAGACGACAGTGCAGCAGTTTGAGAAGGACTCGGAGCAGGCGGATAATGAGGATGTGGAGAAGGAGGGAGTTGATTGGCTGCACGTCATCAAACGGCGGCGTGAGGTGCTGCTGGAGGATTGTGCTGCTAAGAGCAAGAGGCTAAAGGATGAAGGGATGCTGCTCGCTGAGCAGGGCAGGTAGATGTTTGTTTGTGTGCTTGTTAGTGTGCTTGTTAAATCCAAATGTCTATTTCCAGCAGTCTTAACAGAGGGCTAAATATTGCAAGTTTGGATGAGCTATTAGGCAACATATGTTGGGGAATAGCAAGAAGTGTGTACAGAAAGAACCAAGTGTTAAACAACATTGCTTTTACTGTTTTTATTTTTTAGTTACAGTCTGAAGCATTATATGTAGTACGAGTCAAAAAGTGAGTCAGTGAGTTGAAATTATGTAAAGACGTTAAATGTTTCCACAGTGTTTTGTGGGTGCACCATTGTAATCTACTCTGTGTTCTGGGCAAAAATTCCCTTGCTTATGTACACTACTGTTTGAAAGTAAGGGGTCAGCAAGATGTTTAGAATGAAATTAAAACTTTCATTCAACAATGACACATTAAAATAATCAAAAGTTAGAGAGTTATAATGTTACAAAACATTCCTATTTCAAATGAATGCTGTTTTTTTTTCTTTATTCATCAAAGAATCCTAAAAAAAAAAAAAAAAAACTGTTACAGTTTCCACAAAATAATAAGCAGGGCAATGGTTTTCAACCATTCAACCATCAATGGTTTTCTTGAGCACCAAATCAACATATATGATTTCTGAAGGATCATGTGACACTGAAGACTGGAGTAACGGCTGCTGAAAATTCAGCTTTGCCATCACATGAATAAATTACATTTTAAAATGTATTAAATTACAAAGCAGTTAATTTAAATTGTAAAAAATATTACTGTTTTTACATTTTCGTCATTTCAAAATATTACTGTTTTACCGTATTTTTGATAAAATAAATGCATTCTTGGTGAACATCAAAAACATAAAAAAATCTAACCGACTCCAAACATTTGAACAATAGCATATACACACATACAAATTGGTATGACATTGATATCCTGGTTTTGACAGGTAGCTGTCTGTCTGCTTGATTTGAAAAGACAAGTCACATAATAAGATACTTGTTGGCCCCTGGAAAACCTCTCTCATCTTACCTGATTTTCAGTAAGTACGTTTTTTACAGTCTGGCAGCGTGTGCCAGCCAAATTCCTTCCAGGAAAAACTGACAGCTGTTTTGCCTTTACGGTTATTCATCTGTTAGTTGTTATTTAAGCAGGTCAATGCATTGGCCAGGAACATGACAAAGCAGTTATTGTCAATGACAGAAACAGAGTTCTTAGAGTCAACAACAAAGAAGATAAGTAGCGGGTCTTACGGTGTCAATTATAACAGTGCCACATCCATCCAGCAGATGGGACTGTGGGTTCGCTATGGACTCTCTGCATGTGGATGTCACTTGTTTAACCTGTTCACCCAAAATATGCTGGCTCATACAAAACTATTATATGGCTTCAGAAGACCTAAAATATAGTGCAGAAGTTTTATGGGGTATAATGCTTTTTATGGTGCCCTTTTTGTAATTTTGGAACTTGACAGCCCAGACCCCTATGCAAATGAATTATATATACAGTACATTTCTGGGTTTGCTATGCTTTTAAAAACATTGACTTATAACCAACTATTTACATTATTCATCCTGAATGAAAAATATAAACTGAGCACATATTAGCAAGGATAAAGCTGTTTATTATATCACTTTTCAAAGCAAATCTTGTGCTTTGTTTATTTCAAGTAGAAAAAAGGATTACATCTGTCTACTTCTATTGAAATTTATTCTTTTAAAGACTTTCATGAAGTAAGCCCGACACCGGCCGGAGAGGCCTAGACAGGAGTTCAGTACAGTATGAAGAAGCTGAAAATTTTAGCACTCAAATGGGACTTTTGGTTTTAGCATATCTGTGAAAAGCTCAACCAACGGTCATGAAGTGCAACCAACCTGAAAGGTAATACACTCCAATATGCGCTTTTTGTTTTCATTATTTATTTTCAAAGATAATAAGTAATTATTTCATTGTTTAATATGCACCCTCTTCTCATGGAGGCAGCATTTCTTATATGAATCAATGTAGCAGGTGTGTCTGTAAAAACCTTAGGATGATCCTCATCTCTTTGAGCTGAGTGGGTGTTACGAAATATGAGATGGAGAGGAAAAAGGGCTTCTTTCTCAAGTTTCTCATCCTTTTACCACTTAATCGGAACAATAAGTCAAATTAGGCCGCTTGTTTTCTCAGTGTCCAAAGAAAGGCAATAAAACGTCATAGCCAGCAAGCATTTGAGGAGGATAAAAGAATAGCTTGAACTTACTGGAAGATGGTTTAGAGGCATGTATTAAACTCAAGCTGCTGTTATTGCATCCTTACCCTGTAAAGCCTTAAAGGGGTCATATGATGCAATTTCAATTTTTCCTTTCTCTTTGGAGTGTTACAAGCTCTTGGTGCATAAAGAAGATCTGTAAAATTGCAAAGACTCGACGCGTTTCAGAAAAGCGGGGCATAGAGGAGAAACAATAATGTACAGTATGTGGAAAATAATGTGTTTTTTTAACCTTAAACCGCATAAACACATTTCATTACACCAAATACACAAAATAATGTTATTTTTAGCAACGTCATATGACCCCTTTAACAAGTCCATGAGAGGTCAGGGTGAAGTGTCACTCTTCAATTTTACAATCTTTTAGCTCCTTCTTTTCTTCTCCACTCTCTTTGTCTCCGTCCTTGTTTGGATTCCTTTAAGAGCTGTAGTCTGAAATGTTTTTTAATGGCATGATTAAGCAGCACTTTGACTCAAACTGTGTAATAATGCACCGTAGGCCGCTGCCGCTCATGATGTGATTACCGTAGCACTATGCCAATATTTGTTGCACCTGCTTTTCAGAGAAATTAAAGGAAGGCCGGATAGTGTTTGCTAGAAAATGTGACCCTGGACCTCAAAACCAGTCTTAAGTCGCTGGGGTATATTTGTAGCAATAGCCAAATAAACATTGTATGGGTCAAAATTATCGATTTTTCTTTTATGCCAAAAATCATTAGGATATTAAGTAAAGATCATGTTCCATGAAGATATTTTGTAAATTTCCAATTTTGATTTTTTTGCACCCTTGATTCCAGATTTTCAAATAGTTGTATCTCGGCAAAATATTGTCCTATCCTAACAAACCATACATCAATGGAAAGCTTATTTATTCAGCTTTCAGATTATGTATAAATCTGCATTTCGAGAAATTTACCCTTATGATTGGTTTTGTGGTACAGGGTCACAAATCTGATGATGTCTCTAAAGCGTTGGTAGCAGCTGGTCTTTGGTGAGATGTTGAATCTATTTATTGCCAGATCAAGTCAAGTAAATGACAGGGTCACAGGTTTAGGTGTTTATGTATAATTACCCCTTTGGCTCTGTCTTGCTAAAGGGACCGGTTGTCCCTGTAGTGTTCTTTGGCTGCAGATTTGGTGATTTGAATTTTGGTGTAAACAGTCTTGCCGTTGGGCTCATAAAATTTACTGAAAATAGCAGGTAACCGTATAACGTGTGCAAAATGTTTGACTGTACCTTTTGACTGCTGAGTAAAGAAGTTTTTTTAAAAAAATAATCATAATTAAAGATATCCATGTGGGGATAAATGTTCTACTGGTTTTTGTACAAACTGTTCTTCTTTTTTTATTGCTACTGGAGATTTTGATTGTTTTATCATGCATAGGATGATCTTCAAAAAAGAAAAAGGAAAAATTAAGGTTTGCACACTGCATTACTTGTCCTTTTTTTACTCTTCGTTAAGTGTCCCATTTAACTGAGGAGGGCAAAAATAGCACTGTGTTACCAGGGAGTCCAAAGCTCATCAGACCTTGGTGCATTCATTCATGTCATGCTTTAAGAATATGAAGTGAATCTAGACCCCAGTAGATCTGAATATATTTTAATGTATTGGAAATCTGGAACAAATTGAAATGAATGAAGGATACATAAAATGCCCACATTCACATATAAAACTTTAAAGTTTGTGGAAGTGCGCACATAATCAATTTATATATTTTACATATACTATCTGAATAGGATGATTACTCAAAGTAGTCTATGTATCCCTCATAGATTTTTATTGTAGAAATGTAGTGTGTATCTGGAGGTATCAATGCATATTTCAGTCAATGTTTTTACATTTCTGTTTGGTCCCAATTTATATTAGGTGGCCTTAACTAATATGTACTTAAATTTAAATGAATCATTTGGAACAATGCACTTATTGTGTACAATCATGTTTTTACATTGTACTTATATTTTAAAAAATACCTGCATGTAATTACATCTGTAATTAATTTCTGTAATTACACTGTCGACCCATCCCTTACATCTTAACTCACCCTTAAACCTACCCATACCACCAAACCTGTCCCTAACCTTACCCATATCCCAACTCAATTGCAGCAGAAGTGTTTTGGGTAACACTTTATTTTAAGATGTCCTTGTTACACGTTACATGTATTTACTATTATAATAACAACAGTAAATAATAACAGTTAATTATGCATAATTACATGCAAATAACTCTAAGCCGAACCCTAACCAGTAACCATACAGTAAGTACACGTAGTTCATTAATATTATTCAGTACTTAAATATATAACTACACTGTAACAAGGACACCTTAAAATAAAGTGTAACCATGTTTTGCAATACAATATGAACACAGTAATTACATTGTATGTATTTTTTGATGCAAGTGCATAGTAGTTAAGGCCACCTATTATATGGGACCATTTGCTGTACAATAGTGCAGATGCTACGGCAGGTTATTTGAGGTGACCGTTTCATTCACATTCTCACAAAAGACTTAAACGTCTTTTATTACTTTAAATCACATTTACATTTAACATATTCTAGCCATTATAGCTGGGGTCAATGATGATGCTCTGTTAAACAATGGTCCTGGCTAATGCTTTACACCAGTAAGTGAAAGCCCAGCAGCCCCCGAAGAGGCGTGTTGCCCTTGGCGACTCTTATAATCAAGTTTTTTGGAGAATAAGTGGATTGTGATAAGGAAATTACATGGAGCTGGAGGAAAGTGGGTACAGGTCAACACAGTGCAC